GGTAGGCCTCTGGGAGGTGGTCAGGTAGGCCTCTGGGGGGTGGTCGGGTAGGCCTCGGGGGGGGGGGGGGGAGCGCTGTCAGTCGCATGAACCTGTGAGGCTCTTCCGGGAAGCGAGACTGCGGAGCAAGGCCTCAGATGTTAACTGCAGCCCTGCTTCCGGGAAAGCTTAGGACGTCACATTTGAAGATGACAGAGCTGCAGTCCTGGCCAAGGGAAGGAAGGGGAGGGGTTGACTGTCAGCATTCCAGCCTTGCGTCTACCCCAGCATTTGAACAGTGTAGCTCCTTGGTAGGAGGGGGTCAGGAAGGAGAACAGTTTTGTTTTTTTTTTCTTTAAAGATTTATTTGTTCATTTGAAAGGCAGCATTACAGAGAGAGAGGCAGAGGCAGAGACAGAGAGAGAGAAGTCTTCTCTCTGCTGGTTCACTCCCCGATGGTCACAGTGGTCAGGGCTGGGCCAGATGGAAGCCAGGAGCTTCATCTGGGTCTCCCATGTGGGCGCAGGGGCCCAAGCATTTGGGTCATCTCCTGCTGCCTTCTCAGGCATTAGTAGAGAGCTGGATTGGAAGTGGAGCAGCCGGGACTTGAACTGGCGTCCATATGGGATGCTGGCATTGCAGGCAGCAGCTCAACCCACCATGCCACAGCGCTGACCCTATAGAACAATCTTAACAGCTTGGTTAGGAAGAAAAGGAGGGAGATGCACCAGACACTAGAAAGTGGGGACAATGCAAGGATGGCTTTCTTTTAATAAATTAACTTTTTAAAAGATTTATTTATTTACTTGAAAGTCAGTGTTATACAGAGAGACAAGGAGAGGCAGAGAGAGAAGTCTTCCATCTGCTGGTTCGCTCCCCAATTGGCTGCAACGGCTGGAGCTGTGCCAATCTGAAGCCAGGAGCTCCCTCTGGGTCTCCCATGTGGGTACAGGGGCCCAAGGACTTGGGCCATCTTCCACTGCTTTCCCAGGCCATAGCAGAGAGCTGGATTGGAAGTGGAGCAGCCAGAACTCGAACTGGTGCCCATATGGGATGCCGGCACTGCAGGCGGTGTCTTTACCCACTACACCACAGCGCCGACCTCAATAATTTAATTTTCATTCTTTAATTTTTAAGTAATTTTAACCACATTACAGAAGAAAGCTGAAAAACAGAGGCTTGAAACAACAATTGTGTATCATTCCACTCTACTGCACAGTAATCATTACTGTTTTATTCTAGGCCCTTCAATACTGTATTAGGCAAACTACTGATCCAGCTGTGGTCTGAGCATTATTAGCATCTTCAGTTTTCACTTTATGTAACATACATGATACTTCCTAAGCTGCAAGGGCTTCTGACACGTTATGGCTGTACTCTTCTGTCAGATTGATTTCATTGTTTGAAGAAGTTCCCAGAAGAGAGACAGAGAGAGAGAGGTCCTCCACCCGCTGGTTTCACTCCCCAGATGGCTGCAATGGCCAGAGCTGCGCTGATCCGAAGCCAGGAGCCAAGAGCCAGGAGCCAGGAGCTTCTTCTGGGTCTCCCACATGGGTGCAGTGGCCCAAGGACTTGGGCCATCTTCTACTACTTCCCCAGGCCATAGCAGAGAGCTGGATCAGAACTGGAGCAGCCAGGACTAGAACTGGCACCCATATGGGATGCCGGCACTGCAGGCCAGGGCTTTAACCCACTGTGCAACAGTGCCGACCCTCTGCATCTTTTCAGGCCTGCATGATGTGGTTTGGTGTCCCTTGAATGAAAATGCATGCAGATTACTTAAGCTGCCATGTTGGCTTGGAGCTGAAAATCAGTGGTAGGAGTAGGGCTTGGGATTGCTCTTGAGAAAGCAGCATTCCCATAGTCAGGGGTTGCAGACTTCGAGAATTTTCTGCCGTGACTGCCTAGTGGCAGGCTGTGTGGCTGTGAAGGGAGGGAGGCATCTGCACCTGGCGGTCTCACAGGCTGTCTTGGGAGCTGTGGACGGTGGCAGCGACCCTGAGCCTGTCGTCCGGCTTGCCAGTGAGCCTCCCCTAACTGTGCTTGCTGCTGCAGCGAAGGTGTCCATACCTTCAGGAGCCTTCGACTGGTTCCGGGACCCCCGCCCATCCCTCGAGGACACCCAAATTCGTATCATACAGTGGCATAGTGTTTGCATAAAACCCATGCTCATCCTCCCTTGGACGTTTAATCATGGCTACATGACTTACAGTGCCTAGCACAGTGAAAATGCTGTGACCGTACAGTGTAACGGATACAATGGGAGACGTTGTCGCGTCTTGTGTAAGGATTAGTGTCAGAGAACTTTTCTGTCCAGGACTTTCGACCTGCAGGTGGTTGAAGCCACAGATGGAAAACCTGTGGGCATGGAGGTCTGCCTGTGTATGTGTGATCCAGGAGACGTGGAGTCTACAGTCCAGGGTGTGGGAAGGCAAGGCTGGCTGGTGATGCTCCCCGCAGAAAGTAGATAACAGGGGTGCCAGGGGGAAAGCTCATCACTTCCTTCTTCTTTTTAGACAATGCAGCTTCTGCTACCGAGCGTCCACAGGGCCTCGAGCGACCAGGAGCGCCTGTGGCTGGCCGTGCGGACTCCAGGCCTTTGGGCTCTGCCTCTGCTCCCGCAGCCAGGAAGCCCTGCCCAGGCAGACCTGGAGATGTGGCTCGGAAGTAAGAAGTGGCTGGTCCAGCTCCAGCTCGGAGACCTGCAGGGGCTGCGACTGTCGGGCCTTAGTTTGTAACCTCCAATGTTTGTCAACGATGGCCTTCCCAATTCCTACCTCACGGTGTCTGAGAATTAAAGAGGAGAGAACATCAGAGCGGGATGGCTTGGCCCTGAGCGGGCAGCCAGGGGTAGAACAGTGCAGACAGGGGTCCAGGGCAAACCCTGAAGGCGCAGCTCCTGCCTGCAGCTCCTGGGCTGTCCCTGGGCTGGCTGGGTGGAGCTCATTGAGGGGTGGGTTTCTGCTGATCTGCTTGGTGGTCCAGCTGGTGCTTTCATACAGTGATGATCAGAGTACGGACACTTTGTACACTTTTATACCTAGTTGTTTTGTACAGTGGTGATCAGAGTACAGACACTTTGTACACACACTTTTATACCTAGTTGTTTTGTACAATGGTGATCAGAGTATGGATACTTTGTACACACACTTTTATACCTAGTTGTTTTGTACAGTGGTGATCAGAGTACGGATACTTTATACATACTTTTATACCTAGTTGTTTCGTAAGCATATTACTGTATTTGTTCACATTTATCATGCACAATCACTTATTTGCACAGATACATAATATATCACAGTTTATTTAACTACCTCCCTTATTCTGGGGTATCTGAGTTCTTTGTAAAACATTTTTGAAAACTTTTAAAATCTGCACAGTATTGAATTTTTAAAGCTGTTCTTTGCTTAGCTTACAGGTGCTAAATGGTACTGTCTCGATTGGCGTTTCTCTACATACGTGTGAGTGCACTGTTGGCTGTGTGCTTTTTCATTTTACCCAAGGTCTTTTATTACTGGAGCCCTCTGCTGTGCCGGTGAGGGAGGCCTTCGTTTTTGTCAAAGGGTGTCAGCCGTTTGTGCACTTGGCACAGCCTGGTAGGCCCACTCCAGCCACTGGCACGGAGTGTGGAGATTTCTACCTCACCCCGCCTGTTCTCACCTCCTCTAACTCTGCCAGAGCCCACCGGCTGTAGTTAGAAGCTGTGTGGTCCATCTCTTCCCCTGAATTGTGTCCGTTCTTTCTGTGGGTCAGGACGGACCCTCAGAAATCAGTGCGCCTCACTCCTTGCAGCCCTCTCTGCCCCCGGGCTGTCTTCCTCACGGCTCCTGTAGAAGTCGTGTTCTTCAGGAGCTACTTTGCTGTTTGTCGTGATAATACCCCAAGTGTCGTCGGATAAAACGGTGCTTTTTCAAAGAATACCCTGAGAGGAATGCAGACATGTCCTTGTTAACTGAGATGTGGTGTTTTCTCCTCATGGACAGGAAGTCGTGCGATTTGTTTGAATCTCACTTTGTTGTCAACAGCAACATTGTCTCTGGAAACTCGTACATCTGCATATTTGGGAGCCTGATTTTTCCTGGTGCTCATTTTTAAAAAGATTTTTATGCTTAATTATTATTATTTACACTTTATTATTACACTAAGCATTTATTTTGTTATAAGCCATCTTAAATCCTTAACTGAAGTACAGTAGGTATAGATGCATGTCTTTCACATTATTGCCTTGTTTTTATATATATTATAATTATGCTCTTACATATGAATTATGCTCTTACATATAATTATGCTCTTCATACATATTGGCTCTCTGTAATCTTTGTTACACTATTTCACTTAGTTTTATGATATTCCATTTTAATTGTAGTTGTGTTGGCCTTCAGTCTATAAAGTTGTCTTCTGTAATCCTACCTATCCTTTTTTCATTTGCATCGATGACCCAACTGTTAAGAAAATCATCACTGTGTTATAGTTGGCGATAACCTGGTTTCTGTTTGCTAGTTTGTTTTAATTTGAGAGACAGAAAGAGACAGAGCTGGCATCTGCTCGCTCGCTGCCTGCAGTGGCGGGGGCTGGACCGACGCCCAAGGCAGGAACCCGGAGCTCAGTGCAGGTCCCATGGGGGTGTCGGGGACCTGACCACTTGGTGCACGTGAGCAGGGAGCTGGAGCCGGGCTCAGATCCAGGCCCTCTGGTCTGGGATGGGGACATGGTGCCCACCAGCCCAGACACTGTCCCCGGGGACATGGTGCCCACCAGCCCAGACACTGTCCCCGGGGACATGGTGCCCACCAGCCCAGACACTGTCCCCGGGGACATGGTGCCCACCAGCCCAGACACTGTCCCCGGGGACATGGTGCCCACCAGCCCAGACACTGTCCCCGGGGACATGGTGCCCACCAGCCCAGACACTGTCCCCGGGGACATGGTGCCCACCAGCCCAGGCACTGTCCCTGGGGACATGGTGCCCACCAGCCCAGGCACTGTCCCCGGGGACATGGTGCCCACCAGCCCAGGCACTGTCCCCAGGGACATGGTGCCCACCAGCCCAGACACTGTCCCCAGAGGTGAGCTCTCTCCAGCATTTTCTAAGCTGGATTCCTGATTTGCCTCCAGCTTGTCTCTCCTGCTGTCTCCTTAGCTTTTGATGCCAGCACTGGCCGGGGCTTCGGCAGGTGACTCTGCTGTCCTGTGCCCGGCTTTTCCCTGTCGCCTGTGCAGCGCTGCTAACGCAGAGTGGGAGCTGTTCCCCTCGCAGAAGCTCTCGGATCCACACCTTCCTTTCCGCCGTCTGCACGCGGCCTTGGTTTGCAGCCTCTCACCTGTTGCGTGTCTTTTGCAGGTGCCTAACTCCAGTTTCAGTTGTCTGTGGGAGGTAACCCCGTCGATGGTGGAGGCCCCATTTTTACAACCTTTAGTGCTGCAGGCTTTTGTGGGGCTCACTGATCCCACTGCCCTCTCCTGCCCTTCACCCGGCTGCCTGCCGGATCTTCTGAAAACCAACCTGATCCTGGCCGCTCTTGGTCTCTGCTGGGAGCCCACCCCTCTCCATCGTGTGGAGCTGAAGAGCCGCATGCCCCCGGGACCAGAAAGATGACTTAAATGGCTGCAGTGGACTGGGTGCGAGGAGGCGGGGAGGGAGAGATGCTGTGGGCAATGCAGCATGTCGAGGGTTCTGACGTGGGGTAGGGACGCAGTTGGTCACGGGTCTGGTTTTTCAGAAGACGTGAGGGGTCTGGATTTTTAAGAGGAATTTTCTGTTTTTTAGAATAGTGACTTGTGATTGACTTTCTACAGCGCACACCAGCGCCATGTGTCTTCACACACGCAATTTCTGGGGTGTGCGTTTTGTATTTATCTCTCTCTGTAAAAGTACCCCCTTTCTAGGTGCCATTCCTCCTCCTCCCTCTGCCGGCCTTGGAGCCTGGCGAGATTCGTCTCCAGCACACAGGTCACCGTCTGGCCCCGAGCGCGGCGGCTGCCGGCACTGGGCACTGGCCGCTGGCCGCTGGCTGCTGTGTTCTCTGTTCCCCTCTGCTGGTGGTAGTGAAAGCGTGTGAATCAGTGTGCATTGAGTTCCATTTTCCCCTCTTCTTGCCTCTTTTTTCACGTTCAGAACTCTCAGTGCCCATGCAGTGGGCCACAGAAGGGAAACATCTCTCAGCGCTTCGGGCTGCGCTGGCCACGTCCAGAACCAGCTTCTCCGGCCTGGGTTCCAGCTGCTCGCTGTCCCGTCGAGGAACCCGCCCTCTCTCCGTGATGCCGGGGTTCTCGGGTCTTCCCTTGTAATTCGTTCCCGTTTTCCTCTGGGCCTTAGAAGCCCTGACTATGAACTGACTTAATTCTTTCCCAAGGTCTCACTTGCGTGTTACTGGAATGGGATCTCTGTACAGTGCTGTGAATTTTTACGGTGTTTATCTTCTGGTGAGCTGTCTTTGTTCTGATAGCCTTAGGTGGCCTATTTGTTGTTTCTAAATCTAAAATCATAGCTGCAAAGATGTTTTTATTATGTATTTCTATTTCACTTTGTGTTAAATACAAACAAAATGTGACAAATATTTTTGATATTTCTTAATTAGATATGCAGTTAATTGTTAGTTTTAAACATATGCTCTCTTTTAGGATAAGAGAACATTGTATTCTTGTTGGAAGCTAAAAGCTAGATGGAAAAGAATGGGTATCTTGTCATATTTTTATCACCTAAGCCACCTATTACATCAGTGTTTTTCATAATATTAAAATATCTTTAAATTCTTGAGATAAACTTTAATAACAATATATATTCTTTTAGTGTATTTTTCCCTATTTGCCATATATCTGTATATTCATAAATAAAATTCATTTATATTATTGGTGTATGTAGTAAATTCATTTTTTTCATATATGGTCAAATATAAAATTCTGAGTATTGTTTGGTGGTTTAGTAAAGTGATTTTTAATATTTTTATTTTAAAAATACTGTGTCCTCTGTTATGAGGAATTTTTTCTAGAAGAATTTTTTTGGTAACATATGTATCATTGTAGAAATAACAGTACAGGCGGCCGGCGCCACGGCTCACTAGGCTAATCCTCCACCTAGCGGCGCCGGCACACCGGGTTCTAGTCCCGGTCGGGGCGCCGGATTCTGTCCCGGTTGCCCCTCTTCCAGGCCAGCTCTCTGCTGTGGCCAGGGAGTGCAGTAGAGGATGGCCCAAGTGCTTGGGCCCTGCACCCCATGGGAGACCAGGAGAAGCACCTGGCTCCTGCCATCGGATCAGCGCGGTGCACCGGCCGCAGCGCGCTGGCCGCAGTGGCCATTGGAGGGTGAACCAACGGCAAAAGGAAGACCTTTCTCTCTGTCTCTCTCTCTCTCTCACTGTCCACTCTGCCTGTCAAAAAAAAAATATATATATCAGTACAGGATGTATTAAGGAAGTAATAATCACCCTAGTACCATATATAAAGATAATCACTGCTTATTTTTTATTATTATTTTTATAGAGGGATTTTATTTAATAAATATACATTTCATAAGTATAACTTTTGGACTATAGCAGATCTTTCCCCCAAACCTGCCCTCCCACCCCCAAACCATCCCATCTCCTACTCCCATTCCCATCCTATTCTTCATTAAGATTCATTTTTAATTATCTTTATATACAGAAGATCAACTCTATACTAAGTAAAGATTTCAACAGTTTGCACCCACACAGACACACACAGTATAAAGTACTGTTTGAAGACTAGTGTTACCATTAATTCACATAGTACAACTCATTAAGAACAGAGCTCCTACATGGGGAGCAGGTGCACAGTGACTCCTGTTGTTGATTTAACAGTTGACACTCTTATTTATGACATCAGTGATCACCTGAGGCTCTTGTCATGAGCTGCCAAGGCTATGGAAGCCTCTAGAGTCCACAAACTCTGTCAGTATTAGGGCCATAAGCAAAGTGGAAGTTTTCTCCTCCCTTCAGAGAAAGGTACCTCCTTCTTTGATGGCCCCTTCTTTCCCCTGGGATCTCACTTGCAGAGATCTATAAAGATAATCACTGTTAATACTTTAGGATATTTTTAAGTCTTTTTCATGCTTATATTCTTTTTTTTTAAGATTTATTTATTTATTTGAAGGAGTTACACAGTGAGAAAAGGAGAGGCAGAAAGAGAGAGGTCTTTGATCTCCTGGTTCACTCCCCAGTTGGCCACCATGGCCAGAGCTGTGCCAATCTGTGAAGCCAGGAGCCAGGAGCCAGGAGCCTCCTCTGGGTCTCCCATGCAGGTGCAGGAGCCCAAAGACTTGGGCCATCTTCTACTGCTTTCCCAGGCCATAGCAGAGAGCAGGATTGGAAGTGGAGCAGCTGGGTCTCGAACTGGTGCCCATATGGGTTGCCAGTACTGCAGGCGGCGGCTTAACCTGCTTTGCTACAGTGCCGGCCCCATGCTTATATTCTTCAATATGGGGAGTACCCTATACATACAGGTTCACATGCTGTTTTGGATTGATTATTCTGTAAGCGTTTTCCTACATAATTGAAATTTCTTCATAATCACACTTGTATTTCATGGTATATTATTTTTTGTTTATTATTTAATCATAATTGAATGTTTGTGACATTTTAGTACATAAACATTTGCATTTCTAATATTATGGCATATTTATACATGTGAATGAGTGTGAAAGAAGATGTTGTGATAAAGTGTTTCACAGGAGTCTCCAGGGTGTCTCTCCCAGGCCGTGTGCATCCACACCCGGGAGCAGCCGACTGTGCACCTGCAGGAGTCTCCAGGGTGTCTCTCCCAGGCCGTGTGCATCCACACCCGGGAGCAGCCGACTGTGCACCTGCAGGAGTCTCCAGGGTGTCTCTCCCAGGCCGTGTGCATCCACACCCGGCGAGCAGCCGACTGTGCTCCTCCAGGTGTGTCTAGGGTGTCTCTCCCAGGCCGTGTGCATCCACACCCGGGGAGCAGCCGACTGTGCACCTGCAGGTGTGTCCAGGGTGTCTCTCCCAGGCCGTGTGCATCCACACCCGGGGAGCAGCCGACTGTGTGCACCTGCAGGTGTGTCCAGGGTGTCTCTCCCAGGCCGTGTGCATCCGCACCCGGGGAGCAGCCGACTGTGCACCTGCAGGTGTGTCCAGGGTGTCTCTCCCAGGCCGTGTGCATCCACACCCGGGGAGCAGCCGACTGTGCTCCTGCATGTGGGGAGCAGCTCGGACTAGACTAAGTTACTGGAATTAAGACTTATTCTATGCACCTGCTCTCCCACAATATGGCGCTGGGAGAGAAGAAAACAGCTTCTACACAGCTGCCTCCAGTTCAACCAATAAACTGTAGGACTTGCTCCTGATTGGAGGAGAGCAGCGTACTCGGCGTGTGGGCAGCCGAGTTGGGATTGGCAGAGGAGGACTATAAAGGAGGAGAGAGACGGCATGCACCAGGAACATCTAAGGGGAACATCTAAGGGGAACACCTGTGCAGCCCCCGAGAGAGCCGGCCGGCGGTGTGCCGCTCCCCTGCGGAAGTGGGGAATGTGGCAGGGGGAACCGCCCTTCCACGGAGGTGGAAGGGACAGTAGCCAACCCGGGAAGAACCAGCAGCAAACCCGGGAAGGGCCAAGCAGACCAAAGAACAGCGCAGGGTCCTGTGTCGTTCCTCCACGAAGAGGGGGAGCGACACTGCAGGTGTGTCCAGGGTATCTCTCCCAGGCCGTGTGCATCCACACCCGGGAAGCAGCCGACTGTGCTCCTGCAGGTGTGTCCAGGGTGTCTCTCCCAGGCCGTGTGCACCCGCACCCGGGGAGCAGCCGACTGTGCACCTGCAGGTGTGTCCAGGGTGTCTCTCCCAGGCCGTGTGCATCCACACCCGGGGAGCAGCCGACTGTGCACCTGCAGGTGTGTCCAGGGTGTCTCTCCCAGGCCGTGTGCATCCACACCCGGGGAGCAGCCGACTGTGTGCACCTGCAGGTGTGTCCAGGGTGTCTCTCCCAGGCCGTGTGCATCCGCACCCGGGGAGCAGCCGACTGTGCCCCTGCCTGGCTCGCGCTGTGGAGCACGTTCTGACCAGAGGCACACAATGCATGTTGTGTCCTGAGAGCTTCCTCTGGAAAGATACTTAGGGAGACACTCGTGTTCATTTTAACTGACTTACCTGTCCAAGACTGTCTTATTCTGCTGTGACGTCATGATTCAGTCGCGAGCACTTTCTGATATCTGATCTTCACTGAGGTTTCTGCTTCGCCTTACACTTACACTGGTCTGTGTTCTGTGACCTCATGAGGTTACAGTCTGTTCATGATGCCATGTAGGTGCTCGCTCTCAGAAGTTCTCCCAGATACGACTCTGAACTCTTGGCGAAGAGATGCTGCCCCTGCCGTAGGCAGCAGACTCCACTTAGTGAGGTATCTTAAACCCGAGCTGACTTTACTGAAGTATCCATGAACCTGAGCTGACTTTACTGAAGTATCCATGAACCTGAGCTGATTCTATTGAAGTATCTATGAACCCGAGTTGACTCTACTGAAGTATCTATGAACCTGAGCTGACTCTGTTGAAGTATCTATGAACCTGAGCTGACTCTACTGAAGTATCTATGACCCCGAGCTGACTCTATTGAAGTATCTATGAACCCGAGCTGACCCTGCTGAAGTATCTATGAACCCGAGTTGACTCTACAGAAGTATCTATGAACCCGAGCTGACTCTGCTGAAGTATCTATGAACCTGAGCTGACTCTACTGAAGTATCTATGAACCCGAGTTGACTCTATTGAAGTATCTATGAACCTGAGCTGACTCTACTGAAGTATCTGTGAACCCGAGCTGACTCTGTTGAAGTATCTATGAACCTGAGCTGACTCTGTTGAAGTATCTATGAACCCGAGTTGACTCTACTGAAGTATCTATGAACCTGAGCTGACTCTACTGAAGTATCTATGAACCCGAGTTGACTCTACTGAAGTATCTATGAACCTGAGCTGACTCTACTGAAGTATCTGTGAATCCAGTTGACTCTACTGAAGTATCTATGAACCCGAGTTGACTCTATTGAAGTATCTATGAACCCGACTGACTCTGTTGAAGTATCTAAGAACCCGAGATGACTCTACTGAAGTATCTATGAACCCGAGTTGACTCTGTTGAAGTATCTATGAACCCGAGTTGACTCTACTGAAGTATCTATGAACCTGAGTTGACTCTACTGAAGTATCTATGAACCCGAGTTGACTTACTGAAGTATCTA